CAGTGGAGACAGAAGAGCCCACGTCCCCTACTCAGAGTGGCGAGGGCATCCTGCACCGCTGGTTCCCCATGTGGGGGGGATGGTATTCATCAGACACTGAGCCCACTTCCCCAACAACGCCTCCAGAAGACCAGAAGGTGTCAAAGGCCCCAGAGGTGGAGTCCAAGACTCCGTTAGCAATAGAAGCTCCTCAAGGCTCCAAAGAATCTGATAAGCAGGTGTCAGGATCCCTTGAAGAAGAAATCCTTTATGTACTATCAGACAGTGTGGAGAACAACACATTCATGAAGAGAGATGCTGTGTTTTGCCAGCTAAGCTTCACCTTGAAGCAAGGAATTTTCTCGCTCTCCTCAAAGAAGCCACCATCCCCTGGGTCATCCACAGAGGGGAAGGAAAAGTGAGTCTTTTATGTTACTTTTATTGTCTTTGTTATGGTTTACCAGAAAATAGGTTGTAAATGTGATGTGAAAGATCTTATCCATTTCAAAAGTTTATTCAGAAACATGCAAAATGCAAATGTAAAACTGTCTAATAAGTGTTTAGTTTTCCAGGGATTGTATATACTGTGTATTTACAATACATTGTTCTTATTCTCTGAAACAGAATGGAACTATTTGAGTTGGAGTTTGCAAATGTGAAGATGGCCCTAGAATCACGTCCTAGAAGCAAATCATATAAATTTGACATTGAACTAGGTTCTATGAACTTAAAGGACAAGGTATGGATTACATAAATTTGTAAATTTATAATGATCATGTTAGTTGGAAGCTAATATGGTTAGAATAGCTTAGATGTCTATTTTGGTTTGGTCACCTGTATCATAAAGTTATTCTTTATGATACAGGTAATGCATTTGCTCATAGTGGTAATTTGAGTTTTTTCCAAACCATTCAGTATTACATTACTGGATTTATGCAGATCATTATGAATACTTTTGTTTTAGCAAAGGGATTGATAACACTTTCTATTGCAGGTCACGGAGGACTCTGCTTTCCCTCTGCTGGTGTCCCCTCAGACCCGAGACTCAGGTTCTGGCCTCAAGGCAGCCATGTCACGAACTTCGACCATGTACGCAAAACTGACCACCATGATATCTCCATCACAAAGCAAGACAGAAGGCCCCTTGTTCTCTCTCACTTATGAATCTCGACCTTTTAATTCCCGAGCAGATCACAGGTGGGTTCCCCTTGGATTTTTCTGTGTTTTCTGGTGTTTTTTATTGGTTTTAAGTTTTGCTTCAGCTTTGAGACTTTGCTTTTATGAATGAAGGTAATATTTATTCTCTTTATATCCAGGCTGATTGTCAGTTCCACATCCTTGGATATTGTGTACAATCCATCAGCCTTGGAAGCCATAAGTAACTTCTTCACAACACCCTACCAAAAGAAAGAGGGTTATGGCCACCCAGCACAAATGACGGCCCTCACTACAGCTGCAAAGAAAAGGTCAGGATTTTTTGTTTAAGATATAGTGAAGATAGAAATGTAAAGGAAAATCTATGAAGGGAATAACAGAAAACACTTGGATGTGCATTTTTATCCTATGGCCCTGAAGAAACAGTGTTATAAAAATTCCTTCAAGATATTCATGCATTGTGTGTCCTTTGCTTAGTTGGTTTAATGATGAAGATACAGATTGTGTCTTTCAAGAAGTGATGAAACTACATATTTCTTGGTGATTACTGTGAGATATGTTTTATTTTGTGTCTAATTTATTTTCCTTGAACAGATATGAAGAACTGAAGGAACAGACTAAACAAGAGTTGAAGAGGAACTGGGATCAGATTATGGATGGAAGTCTTGTAAGTACAAATTAGGGATATGTAATACAAAATCAAATTTCCGAAGTTTAGGAGAACAAATGACTTTTACACATTCTTATCATAGTAAGTTATACAGAAAAATTCCTGTTTTGTTTTGAATTGAGAAGCCGTCCCAAAGAAAGCTGCTTAGGGACAATTACATTCTAGCTGCTACTACTTATTTCTTACATGCAGATGATGAGGAAGCGCTGGGACATCAAATTGGACATATCAGCTCCACAGATCATCATGCCGGAGCATTTCAAAGATCGCAATGCAACACTGGTCGTGCTTGACTTTGGAAAGCTGATCTTTTGCTCAGCTCAACCTTTGTCTCAGACGAAGCTTAATGATGAACTGGATACTGTCAGTGACGATGAAGGTACTTTTGAAATTTATTCTGATATTATGTAATGGTGGAAGGAAAGGACACACATGATTAAATTTGCCATTGGTAATTAATGTATTTATATTTATTTCAAGTTTACTGATAATATTTTTCATTGAATGAATTGGTTTTGGGCTGTCAAGGTCTTATTGCTAAATTTTAGTTTTTGTCTTTATTAGGTCTATCTTTAAAATATGTACTTTTGTATGTCAGATGAATTTGCAACACCATGTTCCACCCCTGATGAGTTGGAAACGATGTCCTTGGATGGAACTAAAGAGGGGTTGGAAAGGAAGTCATCTTTGCCAGACAAGCAAGCCATGTTCTCCGAGTCTGATTTGCACGACCGGATTTACGATAGGTAAGTGGTAGAAGCTTGCTCTAAGGAATTCTTAAAAGTTTCTCGTTATTCTTTCATTCATAGTTTCTATGTTTTATCCATGAAAATTTATCATGTATAGCAAAAGCAGATATAGAAAATCTCATTAGTTGTTTTTAAAGATCATTACATTTTTCTATAATTTATGATTGGCCATTGTTTTCTAGGTATGATCTTCGACTCTGTGACATGCAAGTGCTAGTTGGAAAAGTACGAGATAATTGGCGATTTGCTTACTTGAAAGGCACAGGTAAGAGCATACATTTTTGGTGGAGTTATTGAAGCGATACAGGAAATTATCTTTACTATAGGAAACACTAATGTTCATTACTGATTCTGATTTTTGTATCAAACTTTTCTTTGCAGGACAAATGCATGTCTTAGACAGATTCAGCATCAACCTGCAGCTGGAGAGACGTGTAGTAGCCATGCCAGATGCACAACAGCAGTGGCCCAGTGCCACACTGTCTGGCACCTTACCAAGTCTGGTGGTCCATGTTAATGAGCAGAAAGTACAAGCTTTGAGGACAATGATATCTCAGTTCTACGGTGATCATGCGGCAAAACCTGTCCGGTTAGTAATTCTTGTCTACAGTAGCTTTAGTATCTTTGATTAAGTTAGGCAGTGGATTAAGGGTTCCTAATCTTCTTGTTTCCTTGTACCGTTGGACATTCTGTAAATGGGTTTCATTCTGGCCCTAGGACTTAGGCTGGAAAGATGATAGAATTACAGCAATTAGATATTTTCCATATGATGTTATATGAGGATTTCATACCAGTGTTAATAGTGAGAAAGGAAACTATATGAACTTATTCAATATTGAGATTTGTGCCATACCTGTTCTATACACTAGTCTTGATTAATCAGTTTGTAAATAAATAAAACTAGATAAAATGATAGCAGTGTCTCAATAGCATTTTCAACATAGTTAAACTCCTGCAGTAAATGTACCTTGGGTTGGGAGCCTTGCTGTAGAAGCTTAATTTTTTTGGTTCTGTGTGCTTATAATGGTTGATTTTTATGAAATTCAAGAGCTCTCTAGTCTAAGATCATATATGATAATCCAAGGTTATACACTGAAGCATGCCATGAAGTTCATTATTAATTCTTTTTTGTTTGATAAAAGACCTAGTATATTCTTAGCCCCATTTGACTAATATTATTTCCCATTATGAAGAAAAAAATATCAAAGTTCTCACAATAAATAAATTGTTTTAATTCCCAGGATGGATTCAACAGACTCAGACACAGTTACTGGAGCAATGAGTAGGTCTAGTACTCTGACCATCGATGACCAGACATTGGAGGACCTGAGCAAGGGAAGCTCCTCCCCAACAGATGAGGGCAAACTGTTGGTAGTACAGTTCACCGTAGATAAGATGTCCTTGGAGGTTAGTCAAATCTGTATTGAGATCATTCACTATTATTGAGCTGTAATGGCTTTTTGACAAGAGATTTGATCAATGGTTTGATCTTTAGTGACAAAAAAAATTAGAGGAAAGAGCGAATGTTCCTGCAGAATCGATCATAAGCTTATGTACTTTTAATATCTCTACAGCTGCAGTCTCGTGGAAGGAGCATTGCAGAATTACAGGTCACTGGAGTGAGAGCCAATCTAAACAAGCGCCCCTTTGATAGCACAGTCACACTCAGTGTGCACTCCCTCCTCCTGGTGGATGCCTTACAGACCTTTGGACCTGACTTTGAGTTGCTCGTTGCCAGTCATAAGCATGTCAGGTGAGTTTAGTTGTTAGATAATTAAATGATATGGATTGATGGAATGATTTTATACACTGAATACAGTAATAAAATAAATGAAACAGTGCATGAAATATTTATATTCAATAGTTAAGTGCCCATGATTTTGAGTGATGTTGCTTTTCAATATTAATTTGGAATTGATATTCATATTGATATGCATAATGTTATACCCTGTCAGTATGGACAGTGTGAGTGGTAGCTTACTGGACAGTGAGCCATGTTCGCCCACCTCACCCGCCTCCCCAGACCACAATGCACCCTTCAAGCCCACCTCTCCAGTGACCCTTAGTCAGGCTATATCTTCATATGCAGCCTCAAGAGGTTAGTGGAAAGAAATTTCTTCTATATTGTGTAAGTGAAGAGATTTTATTGTAAATTTGGACGACTGATTATGCTAGTGAAATGTTTAGGATATTTTTTCACTGAAAGGATCTTAAGTTAAGAGTTGTAAGCTCCTCTAAGCTTGAATATTTAGAAAATCTTATATAAAGGTGCTTAGTATTTGAATTCTAACTTGTCCTTACATGAACTCGATTTCTGTTTTTTTTCCAGCACTGCTTATACCAGCCCAATCTCCGCCTCAGACCTCTCGAAACCTCTCCACGCCCCCTCTTATTAGCTCCCCCAGCTTTGGTGGCATAGGCAGTGGACCCCAGCTGATGGAGAATCGTGATGCTGAGGCCCTTATTACACTAGAAGTCACCTATGTGTCGTCAGAATGCCCATCACAACAGGGGGCCGGGGCATTGCTGCTTGCGTCAGTTCAGTTCAATACCTTGGATATCATAGGTAAGGACTTGATGGAAACTTCAGCCAGGTATAAAGATGCTAGACATTTTTTTAACTTTTTTTTTTTTATTCTGTGGAAAGTCAGTGGTTCAGTATTTGGCATCTTTGCTGGACACATCTTAGGATTCTTGAAAATGAGGAATAAATGTCTTGAAGCAAAGTTTTCCTCAGTAAATAATTCATGTGAATACCTTTCTCTGCAGCCAACCAGGAAACAGTGGTTGAACTGGTGGGCTTCGTGCACCAGCTATTCCCTCATCAGCCCCCCACGTCATCTTCACGCTTCCATACCCACATGGCCAGTGCACCCGCCATGAGCCCTAGTGCCACCATGTCACCAGAGAAAGAGGAACAAGGTGGCCTCTCCCATGCTACAAGCATGTATTATGTAGCTCCCCAGAAGAACCCTGTGCGTGCGGAGGTCAGCTTTGACTTCCACAAACTGACTGTTCTCCTTCTCAGAGGGGTTTATAAGGACAAGGAACTGGTGGGCAGGAAAGTGTGCACTGCAGTCCTTTCTGATGCTAAAATACAGGCAACTGTTGGTGAGTGTATGATTGTTTACTTGGACAAAGAAGTCTATTGTACTTTAGCTATCAGTGAGTTTATGAAAGCCACTGATAGATTTTCATTTTATGCTAAGATTACATCATTAACCCATTCGTGCCGGGTGTCATGTATACGTGACGGGCCCAGTGTGAGTTTACTTGTTTGATTGTTTTCACACATAGATGGCTACACCTGTACTTGTACTGCCTTTCTCGCCTGTTTACCCTTTTCTTTAATTTACGAAAATATCTTATGTTATCTTATTTTGCTGTTACTAATGTTTATAACATTAGAGTAATTATGATGTTTATAATAAAAATAACCATCGATATTCATAGCACTTGTAAAAGTACATTTTCCCGCCAATTCAAGTAAAGGGGAAATCAGGTAAGGCAGAGCCATCTAGTGTGGAGACATTTTATAAAAAAATATAGAAAATGAGCACAGCATTTTCCCCATTTTCTGTTCATTTTTAAGTGTCTGGTATGCAGCCTTGCATTATAAACCACTTGGGAATGGGAAGTTTATTTTATATATTGTCTTTTCAATTCTGTCATCTGTCTTTTTTTTTTTCTTAGAAAACGACATCTTGACAGTGGAAGGGTCATTAGGTGGGTTCCAAGTGCGTGATGTGACTCCGGAAGGCAATAAGCATCAGTGCATTATAAGCGTTGGCCAAGACCCCATAGTTGAGCGCTCACAGGTAAACTTCATTCCAGTTTGTTTTGTGAGATAACACGAGTTTTATGAATGATTACATATTTTCTGATTGAAAACTAAGTAAATTTTTGTTTATATCTCATGTTATTTTATAAGAATTATTATGTATTAAAACCATGGATTCTAATTTGCTCATATATGTTTTTAATGTTACAGGATCTGTTTTCTCATGAGATAACATGAGTTTTATGAATGATTACATATTTTCTGATTGAAAACTACGTAAATTTTTGTTTATATCTCATGTTATTTTATAAGAATTATTATGTATTAAAACCATGGATTCTAATTTGCTCATATATGTTTTTAATGTTACAGGATCTGTTTTCTCGGTTGAATAGTGACATCTACCGCTCATACTCACAATCAGATAGTACAGCAAGGGCCTTCAGCTTTACTGTTATCCGACCAGTGGCATTCTCAAGCTCCAGTACCCAGAGTAAGAAAACACTTGATCTTAATTTTTTCTTGTATGGTCAAGATTTCATTAGATTTTTGTGTTTAGGTGACAAATATATTGCTTATATTTAACTAAATATGCAAAAGGTAATATGAATGGTAAACCATCATTGCTGTCATGCATAAAAAGAGAAAATTAGGATTTGATGAGGGACAGAAAGAGAAAAAGACAGAGAGGAAATGTAATCAGGAGCAGAACGATCATGGTAACTTGATGTTTCAGGATATTTACCTTCACCTGATGATGAAAATCTGACAGTCAAGCTGCGACTAGCTTCTGTCTGTTACACCCACTCGCCCCACTTCCTTCTCGAGTTGCGCTCATGTGCTACAGAGTTCAAACAGTACATGGCCCGTGTTGCTTCATCCATCAAACACGCAGCAACGGAAATGGCCATGGGTCTAGTGAGCAAGCGGTAGGTAAAGATGTGTGTTTTGTCAAAAATAAATTGCATTAGTAATGATTAATGCATTTAAGAACAGAGATATCAGGGCAGGATTATTGAATTTCGAATCCTCTTTTTCACTGCCTAGTAGTGTGAGTGAGAATTATTATGGTTGGTTAGAATCATCCAAGTTGAGAGAAATACTACCACATTAAGTGATTAAATCTGGTTTGTTTTTCAGAATTGAGTCCTTCGTAAATCTGTCAG